GTAATGTAATAAAATTGAATCAGATATCGTTATTTACCTTAACAAAATTAAGAAGTAACTGTGATAGCTCGTGTTCAGAATTTTCCAGCAAAACAGACATTAGATGCCATTTTTTTGCAATAAGGGAAAACGAAATGTCGAAAACACATTAATAGTAAGTAGATTTCGCAGTCACGTGTATTCACAATGTTCTACAAAATGTGCTGGTCGCTATCACTTGAAAATCGGACACGCGATCTATCTCTTTACATATTTAATGCGGAATTTCACCATCGCTCTTTTAAGACGTTTTTGAAGTCGTTTCGTAAACATATTTGTATATATATATGCTCGTTGTGTATATGAATTAGTAAGGACGAAGTATATTCTCATACTCGTTAGTTTGTTCCTTTTTTCGATACACTTTTCTTTACAGACACAGTCCCGATAGTGTTACATGTATATGTAACGTAACCCCTGGCTCCTGCTAATTTTATACTTAAAAAATAAATCTGTTTATACACTTAAATAATTGAAAGAAAATTAATTATATAATTATTTAGTGAACCCCGAAACCTTTATTTTATTGATTCTGACGCAACTTTTCATGTGACATTAAATGGAAGAAATCGTTTCAAATTAAGGTCTTTCAGGGAATAGAGTAGTTGTTCAGAATTCAATCATCATATTTATTATTAATTTTTTTCTCAAACGGTCAACTGTGAAATTTAATTATGTTCGCAGCTGATCAATTGTGGACTTTTAGTCGAATGTTCGATAAAAAGCCAATGTTGACAAAACTGCGAGATCGTATGATTAAAATCTCCACACATTTTCGCCAGCTCCTGCGCGAGGAATTCAACTATAGTTGAAATAATTTTTTTATCAAACTGAATGGGTTATATTTTATATATACGGTCGGTTTCTGTAAAAAAATATGGAAATCAGAAATTGGGTGTGAAAGCTATTTATATGAAAACTAATATAACATACTAGCTGCTCCCCGCGACTACGTCTGCGTGGAATAGGCTGAAGGTGTAACATTCAGACAAAAAGACAGAATTCGTAAAATATGTATATAAATTATAGCCTATATCGTATTCTAATGTATAAGCTATATTGTTGTAAAATTTCATTAAAATCTATTCAGTAGCATTTGCGTGAAAGAGGAACAAACATCCATCCATACATACAAACTTTCACCTTTATAATATTAGTAAGGATATTATCTGTCTTTCCTTCGGAACCTTCGGTCACTGACTTTGATTTTTGATCAGTAATCCGGTAATATCCCAAAAGCGCTAACATCCTACTCTGTATCTAAATAGGTAAACAGCTCTGTGCCTCCATTTTTTTTCAACCGATTTCTTGTTTATTAGCTATCAACGACCTTTAGTTTGCAACTGTCGAGATTTTTTTCTTTCTGCGGGATCTATGGTACTGGAATTCTGAAATTATACCTCTATTGGCGCGTTTGGAAAAATGAGAGTAAAATTTTTACGATGCGCGCACACACTGACTTTCAAAAACCGACATGATAACTAATTTAAGCTTGGTAACCATTTTAATCTTCGCAACAAATAACTTTGTGACATTTACCAATAATTCTAATTTATTTAAAGAAACCGCCATCAATTGCATTTAATTTCTTTACGCTAAAGAAGTTTTACTTCTTACGTGTGTATACAGCGTGTCGTTACCATCGCGACAATAAATGAACACACATATAGGGGATAACTTTTTAAAGTTGTATTAAACATTTAAATTCTTTAAACATCAATATTTACAGAGTTATAAATTTTTCCAAAACAAAGAATTTTAGAACACCCTTACCTATAAAAGCGTAACGTAAAGTTCATTTGTAAAGGTCACAAAGCATATGAATGGGTTGAATGAATTTAAAAGAGACAAAACATACTGTTAGAAGGAGAGGCTTGTAATACGACGCTGTGGCGCGAGTTTTATAGGATGTTAGAAATTTTGTTTCTTTTTTACTTAATTAGTTTGTTGGAAAAATATTTTTTTTAATTATGGATTTTGTTTTACGTTAATATTTTTTTATGATTATTGGCTCGTAGCGTTAGATGTGTGTTTATTTATTGTCGCGATGGTAAGGACACGCTGTATAAGTACACATATAATTTTTTGCGGAACAGCGTCGTACTGCGTCGGATAGTCTATTGGAAGATCTCTAGCTATTGTACACTGCTCGAAATACGAATGCAGACCCGCGATTCCTTATCTACCTTTAGTTCAACCTAATAGCATTTCATTGGCTTTTAAGGATTATGAAAAAGCCGAAAACCTAGGGGACTACCTGGAGTTACAATGTCCTTTTTTATTTCTTGTCTGAGATGGAACGCTTCAACAAAGTGTGACACCGGAAAAGGTCAGACATCATTAAAACATTTTAACCACCGTCAGACCCAAGCACAGATAAAACAAGTTTAAAGGCACTCTTTGCTCCTCCTTATTTTACCGGCGAGCATTTTCAATGTGGTTCCTACCAGCTTTTTCTTCCCGGACGCCTGTAACTCCGAACTGTACTGTAACCTCTGAAGGTGTCATTACTTCCCATTAGATAACGAACATGAGCAGATGCTCGAATCTAACCAAAGCGAAGGGCCTTATCAAGTTTGTGGCATCTGGCGATCATTAGAGCTTTACGTTCGACGAAGGTTTAATACTCTACGGACTGAAAACAAAACCATTTGACAAAACAAAGTAAAGTAAAGCGTCAAATTTTCGTTTACGTTTGTGGTCGAATTTTGGACACATGGCAAACACAAGATACTAGTATTAATACTGAAAGATTTATTTTTTATATTATTTTTTTTATTGACATACCTTGCCGAAAATTGATCTATTGATCTTTTGATCCTTAGCAAATTGTAGGGTGTTTCACATGATGATGATCGACGCTAAGTATTATCTGTCTTTCACAAGAAAATAAAACCGAACAGCTTGGAACGAATGTTTTACTTAATCGAAAATTATATACCTAAATTAAGTATTACCGGTAGGTAACTCTATTATTCTTTAACGTTAGGAAATATTTTAGTTACGAGAACATTAGCAGTCAAAAGTAATAATAGTTAATTTATATAGAAATAATTATGTATTCATATCCAAAGCAGAAAACATTTGCAAAAAAATGTAATTAATTATTTTCACATTATTGTTAGATATAGAAATTTCATCAGGTTAATTTCTTTTAATTTTCTTTCCTTCTTTCACAAATAAACAACAAAACCGTAAACGTCGGTTCGTACAGTATTTATTTAGAAAACGCTATTGAAAACTGGGCACTACTCGACTTAGGTATCATAAATAATTTACGAATATATTTATTCTGGCATAGCAACTCTTAAAAGTACTAAACAATGTAATGAAAATACCATACTATGCTATAACCAGTTTCTATCTGAACTTTTCATAACCTGGACAAAATATCTTTAAATATCTTTGAATACTTATATATGAAGGAAAACCAGAACACGTGAAAGAAATGGTAAACATAACATAATACTTACGTAATCGTATTATGTCACTGATCATGGCCAACGTCTCGTAATCTCGTTATATCACAGTAAAATGTTAAATTTTGTTCTTGCTTGCGCCAAATTTACATCGCCGTATGGATGTTTCGAGAAAATATTACTTTTCTAGAGGTTTTACTAGTTTACAAAAAATTACAATCACATCCACAATTTTAAATTACAGAGATGTCATCTTTTTAATATATAGTGTTATGATATCTTTGTTATTTTCAGATTTTCATGTTATGTTGTATATACAGCTACCAATTTCACCGTTGAGAAAACAATAGTTTTGTTTGAGAAAACAAAACACTCAATCCTGTGAATAAATGCATTTTACAGCTCGTGTACTAGCACCAGTAAATAATAAAAAAATATTCTGAAGTTTAAACATCTATTAATTGAATTCTAGTGAAAACAAACCAAATTAATAATAAGTTTATAACATATAGAAAAACTAACCACGAGTGAAATGACTGTGACGTTGTTTGTGGCTAAAATTATGGTCAAAATCTCAACCATTGTGGACCGCTTTTACATCTCACGAACCCTTATTTGTTTTTAGGAACCCTACAGTTTTAAGGAATATATAGAACACTTTAGATATCATAGGTATAGGGATTCCTTACATAGTTGACGTGGCCTAAACATATAAGATATGCTACGTCAGTTATCAAATTAATCCTGTTTTTCTAATATTTAAGTCGTCAGTTTGTAACATATAATTCTCAATTTGAACGATAAGAAGAAAACGAGAACAACAATTCAATAAATTATAATTATCCTCCTTTAAAGGAGGTAAATTCAGTTTCTTAAATTTACGCGAATACTATATAGATATTATAAACACGGTTAGATAAATTGAATATCCTAATTTTTTTTTATTAGTCTACCCATTAATTTTGAAATTTTATACAATAATTGTAAGAAAGGACGTAATGCTCTACTAAATACTCTACTTAACGTAATGCTCTACTTTCAATTTTAAAATAAATTATACAACTTTTGAACTTTGTTTGTTAATACTGACAATATGCAATAGGTGAATAATTGTAACGAGCACATTTTTGTATTTTTAAATATAACGAAAGAAAATTAAATGAATTGATATCGTTTAAACTTTAATATTAATTACATAGCTTAGTTAGACCACGTTTATTTTTGAATACAACAAGGTTGCCTCGACCTGATATATTCTGTACTAGCTGCTGCCCGCGACTACGCCTGTGTAGAATAGGCTGAAGGTGTAACAATAAGAAAGAAAGACAGATATACATAAAATATGTATATAAATTATAGCCTATGTCTTATTCTGATGTATAAGCTATATTATTGTAAAGTTTCATCAAAATCCATTCAGTAGTTTTTGCGTGACAGAGTAACAAATATCCATCCATACACACAAACTTTCGCCTTTATAATATTAGTAGAAATCTTAAAATTCTTCCAGTATCTACAGTGGCTACTGCTTGAATTGTGTTAAAACGAAGGCCTTGTACGCTTTGTACATAGGCTTATAGCGTAGGCTATATTCGACTTAAAGCATTGTAACGGAGTGCGCGGCGGCCGCGAGGAGGAAGCTAAGTCGCTCGTGTGTGCGTGTAGGGTATTTCGGCTCAGATAAGCGGCCAGAAGGCAGGCCGGTGCCGCCACGCTGCCGCAGCCAGAGGTCAGTATTGACGTCAATGGAGTCACGTGACCGGCTCTCGTACCTACTGGCACAGGCTGAGACGCGCAAAACGCGTCCGACTCGCACGCAGCCAGCAGCATGCCCCGCGCTCCGTGCGAAAATTACACATTCCACAATGGAGCTGTTAACTAATTAAGCAAAAGTTATTCACAATATGGCGTACGAGTTTATTAGGGCTATTCACTTAGCGGAATTATGCTATACTGGTTGAATATTTTAATTGTTTTCAACATTACATTGCCTGAATTCATGCCTATTTCGGAGTAGAATTTATTTTTTTAAATAGTAGGTTGTTCTCCTCACCTTGACGTCAGGACGTCGATTAATTTATTTTTTCCTCCACGACCATGAGGTCCGGTATTCAGGCCATCAAAACTTTATACAAAATGATCTTGAGTCCACTTTCGCTCGTAAACCAACACAATATAACACCTGTAAAACGATATATAATACTTTAAAGACACAATATAAAGTATAAGATAATGCAACAGTATAACAATATAAGAGTATTTTAAAAATTGTTTTACGTTTACAGCGTCAAGCTTACACCTTGTTAGTATTGTTTCGAACTTTAGTTCTTGTGCCAAGCGACGACGCAAATAAAAATGTATTTTAAAGAAAATTTTAGTTTAGTTTTACTCATCATTTTTTCCAAACACGCCTAAAAGAAGTATAACTTCAAAAAACTATATGTATACTTACGTACGCACGTAAGAAGTTATCTATACTTCTATAGCGTAAGAACTTTAAATTATTAGTAAATATCAAAAAGTTGTTATTGGTTGCGAAGATTAAATTGGTTATCAAGTTTTATGTCGCTTTTTGAGGGTCGATGTGCGCGCTCATCGTAAAAAATTTCTCATAAATTTTCCAAACGCACTCCCAAAGTGTAACTTCAATAAATATATGTGTACTTATCTACGCACGTAAGAAGTTATACTTCTTTAGCGGAAAAACATTAAATACAATTGATAACGATTTATTTAAATAACTGAATTCTTGGTAAACAATGATTATTATGATTATTTATAGATGACGCTTGTCATACTGCAACGTTTAAAAATTGTTCCATTTTACTTTATAAATATGACATAAATAAGCGAATGTGACAAATGATTACAATTACACCAACCTAATTACATCAATTGGTGTAATTTGAGTGCCTTAGTTTCGCTGTGCTAGTGTCATATCGACCTCTTATTTGTACACAACATCAATGCTTGTAGCCACGTTTTGATCAGAAGTCCTTCAATTCCTAGACAAATTTTATTTCAATTTATAAAACCTAAGGGATTTTGTTAAGATGGCATTATACTCATAATATTGTACTTAAAAAATGCCATGAATTTGTATATAAAATAAGAATTAACTAAGGTAAGAAGAATTAAATAAGAACTAACAAGGTGATATACATAGAGCCGTGGTAGCTCAGTGTCCGGGTGCTCGCCTTTAATTCAATATACTCAACCGGAGTTCGATCCCCGGTGCCGGCACCAATGAAGTTTTTAACTTTATGTTACATATTAGTACAGGGGCTCTTTTCTTCGATGTCGCAAAAGCATTCAACAAGGTCTGGCACAACGGCTTGCTTTACAAGCTGTACACACTCAAAGTGCCAGATAGGCTCGTACACACCATCCAGGCCTTCCTGTCGAACCGCTCTTTTCGATATCGAGTTGAAAGCACCCTCTCCACAAGCCGCCGCCTCACGGCCGGCGTACCACAAGGCTCCTGCCTCTCACCTTTGCTCTTTACGCTCTACACGAGCGATATACCTAAAGACCCCCACGTCAACCTCGCGCTTTTCGCGGATGACACGGCGCTCTTTTATTCAGACCGCAACCTTAGACAACTAACCGCTCGACTCCAAAGCGCTGCCGACCGCCTCGGCGATTGGTTCCGCAAATGGAGAATAGAAATAAATCCCGAAAAGAGTGTGGCGATTCACTTCACACGAAGTACTTACCCGTCACATCTTTATAATGGCCCTCGTCAATGCAGAAAGTTGGGGCAAATATCCCTTTATGGCCAACCGCTCCCCTGGGAGAAAAAGGTCAAATACTTAGGAGTCACTTTCGACTCGCGTATGTCATTTACTACGCACAGTAATAACGTTCGCAATAGAGCCGCGTTCGTCTCCGGCCGGCTACACAATTTAACTAACGCTAAAAGTAAGATGCCCTTAAGGCACAAATTATTATTATATAAGACCTGCGTACGACCTATTATGTCTTACGCATGCATGACCTTCGCCCACACGCACCCCACTCGCTTGTACAAGTTGCAAATAGTACAAAATAAGTTCATCCGCCGCGCAACCGGTGCGCAGTGGTATCAACGCAACGTCGACACAGCGATTGCAGACTCCCGACGATTCGAGAACATTTTAAAGACCTGACCAAACGGTTCTTCGATAGAGCCGAACATCATCCCAACCCTCTGGTGGTAAGCGCAGCAAATTACCAACCCGACCAAAACGCGAACGTCAACAAGCGTCGCCCGCGAAACGTCCTAATCGACCCGGTCGAGGAAGGGGACTTAGACACGCCGGACCCACTGCCGGGGGTCCCGCCGGACAACACTACACCCACAGTTAGTGCAACAACAAACACACTAGTTCGCCCTCGCCTCCGAGCACGGCGAGACCAACACAACGCGTACACAAGGTACACCCGCGTTCCGGGGCGGTTCTCACCGCCCCCAGCCACCGATTAGCTAATTGCACAGTCGACGGCCATCGGGGTTTCGGTCCGAACCACGACCTCGATGGCTCTTAAATGACGTACCATAGTTAAACGCACGCATGAGCACATGCGTGGCCCTACCCACAGCGGCCCAAACCCGTGGGTTCTGGCTAGCCCACCGGTTCTGCGTCAGATGAAGCTTTAATAGTCTCGAGACTGAAAGCAAAAACATCAGTTAATACAAGATACAAGAACTTTATGTGCTGACTTATACCGTGCTCCGCGGTGAAGGAAAACATCGTGAGGAAACCTGCATATTTTCATATATATTATAATACCCTCTGTATAGAGGAGGCCTTTGCCCAGCTGTGGGACATGTATAGGCTGTTACTTTACTTTACTTTTTAACAAGGTGATATCAAAGATTTTTCAGAATTGTAGTTTGTATGTATAAGAGGCAGTATACAATATAACTGTTGTAAGCCACGCAGCAATCTCTGCTGTTGCACGAGTAGGCTTGTCCGCGGAATTACCACGACCTCCAGTTTATTAAAAGGTGGCAACTCATCGCAACCAACGGAGTTGCAAATGCCCATCGGCGACGTTTATTATTTATCATCATTTGAACAGCCAGCTCGCCTGCCAACTTTTCACATAAAAAAATACAATACATCTTTGTAGGTCGTGAAGTCGGAGGGAAATAAATATGCTCACTGAGGTTTTAGTTATTATATTTCTTGTCACTCATGACACAATAGAGAATAACAAGACGAATAACAAGCACAAAATACGGAACAAATTATACACAAACAATAAGCGGGGCGTAAGTAGTAAACAGTCGAAATCTGCTTAGGACGCGAAGCGCATATCGCTCGCCGCTTATGCCTATCGTTACGAACTGTTATTCTTCTACTCTGCTACTCTTCCTTCTGAATTCTATCTAACTGTATGTGTGCCGTGAGTGACAGGAAATATAATAACTAAAAACAAAGTGATCAAATTTATTTCTCTTTGACTTCACGACTTACATCTTAAAAGTGTAAACGATTGTTTGACTCTGGAAAGAGTTCGAAACGTCTGGAATTAATAATCAAATAAAATAAAATAATATCTTTTTTTAAACCATAAACAAACTAAGCGCGAAAATGTAATTTTTTCCATGTGACCAATGAATCTTTACATATTTCCTATGACTGAAATCGTAAATATCATCCGAAAAAAAATTGCCCTGCCTTGGTCACTTACGGTGACACAAAGACAAAAAACCTGGTGCTTAGATCACGAGTAGGGTGCCCGAGACGACACTTCGGAACTGTATCTACGAAGAAAGCACGCACGCATCTACGCACTAAGAAGTGCTAGCTCTCATGGATATTATGGCCCTCATCGAGAGGACTTGGGGACTCTGTTGGTTTCATAAATGGTACAGAAATGTTTCATTTTTTTTAAACTGAAGGAGGTAAAGGAGGTAACTGTTCTTAATTCACAGAAAAGGAATAATGATCAGCCCTGGCCCCGGATTTTGCGCAAGGATATTTGTCATAAATTTATCCCATGATTCATAGTCATCGTAGTTTGTAATCGATACAAGTACGATATACACGGACCTGGCTATTAGGCATCTAACACGAAAATGTATTCAATCACTAATGTACACAGAATTTCTGTGTACAATAGTGAACCTATACAAAGCATTGTTATTTGTTTTATATTTATCTTAGAGTTATCGTTTTTTTACATTTGACAAAAATTTTGATATGTTCTATTTCTTATTCGTTTTTAGAAGTTTACCTAAAGTTGTACATGCCGCTTCGTCAGTCGTATTGAAGCCTCCTTAACGAAAGTAGATAATAATAATAAAATAAATAATTCGAGGTAAATCGGAAGCCTTATTACAGAACTTAGTAAGTATTGTACATTTTTTGCTACCAAATGTCTGCGTAAATAATGTCGGCAAAACGAAACGTTTTCTGTAGAACGTGTTAAATATTAAATTTTGGCAGGCGCTCCAATATTTTCGATTCGTGCTACTTATCTGTAGTTTTTGACAAAAAACTGTTTAAACTTCTAATGTTTTTAACTATAATATATGCAAATTTATTTAAATAAAAAAACATTTGACGCATATTTGACGACATATATTTATGGAATTTTGTTTATGTTGTGCTTATATTTATCAATTTCTATTACTCATGGTAGATTATGTTTCTCTGCTTATATTACTTGTATTATCTTGTATCAATTTCTATTACTCATGGTAGACTATGTTTCCCTGCTTATATTACTTGTATTATCTTGTGAAAATCGGAATCTCTCTATCTATATATATACATAAAATAGTAGAGGTCTGCCGTTGCATGCACCTTACGGAAAAACAGCTAATTTGAATAAATTTT